TGTAGCAGAATATGTACCTAAGTTAAAATATTGTAAATAAAGCAAATATTGCGCTTCTAGCAACAAAGTTCCATAACAAAACTACCGTTAGCCGATACTGATATTTTAAAACTGGTCGCAGTTTTTTTAAGCAATCCTTGTAATCAAATTTTGTTACTTAAATAAACAAACTTTTTGTAAAATTGTTATTTTGTTATGAAATTTTCACTATTGTAATGCTGATTTCAGCTTCTTTTAAATGATATATAATAATCAATAACAAAAATAGTTTAAAATTTTTACACACTGCCTATATTATACTCATTATTATATTTTAATAGATTTTACTATTTTTCTCAGGTCTACTGAAAATGGAAGTTGCATAGCTTTCTAATTTGTTTTTTATTGCTGTTTCGTTTAAATGCTCTGACAGTTTTTCAACAATTAATGATATTATGATTTCTGAACTTCTTATAAAAGAAGCGTATTTATATTGCTTTGATATAACATTTTCATCTTTCATTTGTCTCATAGCATTATCTAATATTATAAAGCAACCTATTGAATCTATTTATCCTGATATTGGTTTTAAAAAGTATTATAGTTTTTTTAATACTCTTATAAAACCTCCCATTTAAAAACTAAGTTTTTCAATAAATATTTTGTGGTGTAATTTAGATAAAACAAAAAACCAAAAGTGTTTTATGTTTTCAGTCAAATTATTTTGTGGCACAGGTTATAGGTCTTCCTAAAAAAAGTCCATCTGTTATTATGAGTGATCCAAGTTTACCTTGTATCAAAAAAGTAGAAGTTTCTAAGTCAAGTTTTCCACCTACAGATAACAAAATACAAAAACCAATTCAGTCTAAATTATTTTTTTCTACTGTTTCTAAGAACACTTCAGATATAGATAAGTCTAGTATTTTTAATAAAACAGTTAAAACTGAAGTATTTATCTCAAAAAATTCCAACAACAGTGATAAAAACACTCTTGAATCTAATCTTCCACAAAAGGAAAGCAATGTTGTTGACATTAGTTTATTAAATACAAATCAGCTAGCATCTTATTTAAACTATGATGTTTCATCATACCATCTACAAGGTGAAAAATTAAAATCAGGAACAAATGATCATGAACTGTTATATTTAATTAATAATGTCTGGGTTTCTGATAAATGCTTCTAATTTCCTTTAACAGGTAAAAGCAGAAAAAGACATTTTTTGCCAAATTGGTTAGATGATTTTCCTTGGACTTGTTATTCAAAATTGAAAACGGTGCATATTGTCTTCCATGTACACTTTTTTGTACAAGTTTACCAAACAAATATTCATTATGTAAAATGTTTAAAGAACCATTTAATACCTGGCGTAATGCCCTAAAGGTTTTCAACATTCTTAAAAAAAAGTGTTGACGGAATACACATCAAATCCATGGATTGTTATTATATGCTTTTATCTAGAGTTAAAAATAACATTTTTTCTATTATAGTTTCTCTTGAAATTTCTAGGAAACAGCGTATAGAATAAAACATAAAAAAACTTGAATCAATAAGACTATAATTTAAGACTATAATATTTTGAGGTCGAAATGATATGCCTCTACGAGGTCATAGAGACAATATAAAATATCAAGGAGAAATTGGAGAATCTTTAAAAATTACAGGGCTGGGTAATTTCATTAATTAATTAATGAGTTTTTAAACTTTAGGGTTGATGCAGGTAATTTAATTCTAATAGAGCATCTTCTCTCTGCCCCCAAAAATTCCACATGTATTTTGAAGGCCATTTAAAACAAGTTAATTGAGTGTTGTGGAAATGCAATTGAAGAGGTTTTATTAAATGATATTAAAAAAAGTAAGTGCTTCTCCATTATTGCGATGAGGCTTCAGACTGTGTAATGATAGAACAACTTTCTATTGTCATACGTTATGTTGAACAATAATATTAAGGAAGTTTTTTTACACTTTTTTGAATGTAAAATAGGTACAAGTGGTTTAAGCATAGCTACCAACATTCTTGAAACTTTAAAAGAATTTGGTTTAGGTATAAGAAAATGCAGAGGCTAGTCTTAGTAGGGAGCTGCTTCAATGTCAGGTAAATACAAAGATGTTTCATCTGTTATAAAAAACGTTAATTCTAAGGCATTATTTGTCCACTGTGCGTCACATAAACTTAGTTTAGTTTTTGGGAAAAGTTGCCAGATCCAGCAAGATAATTATTTATATTCAATAATTTTTCTGCAGTTTTTTCTGATTTTGAAGAAATGGAAGATAATATTTTCATATATTTGCTACAATACCAATCACAACTTGTGAGCGTGAAAGGTCAATATCTACTCTCATGAAAATAAAAATATACACTTGGAGTACTATGTCAGAAAATAGATTGCTTTAACGTCTATTTAACAGGAAATAGTTCCTGATATTTACAGAGTTATTGAAATATTTGCATCCAAAAGAGATTAAAAGTTTTCAGTTTTTATTCAAATAAAAAATTTTAAAGTTATAATTAAAATATTAACTATTGTTTTAAAAGTCTCTTAAATGTAAATAATTTCTTAATAGCAAAATATTTCTACTCATTGTTTTAAACATGTAAATTGTGAAAATCATTTTTTATTAGCAAACTATTACTTTTCATTGTTTTATATAACTGTGAAACTTGTACTTCATTTGCTATTTCAATGAATTTGTAATGTTGAGAGCGTTTTCAAGTGAATTAGGTAGTTACTTTTTTAGTTGTTACTTTATTTGTGTGTTATATTTTGTTTTGTTTATTTATTAAAAAAATAAAAGTAAAAAAAACTATAAAATGTTTTAAAATTATTTGTGCATAACTGTCTATTAAAAAAAAAAAAAAGAATCCAGAAATGGAAAGCTAACCTTAAATAACATTAGTTTTAACAAAATCTTGTTTAACTAATACTTTAGTTAAACTGTCTATCAAGAAAAAAGAAGAATCCAGAAATAGAGGACTAACCTTAGACAACGTTACTTATACTTTACTGAAACTGCCTATCAAGAAAAGGAAATAATCCAGAAATAGAGGATTAACTTTAGGAAACATTTCTAATAATTAACTTAAATTGCCTATCAAGAAAAGGAAAGAACCTAAAAATGGAGGGCTAACCTTAGGCAACACGACAGTTTACTGATGGAGTGCAAAGTCCTTCTCGTTGGTGCACTTCGTTAAGTGAGTTGGACAAGTATTATGTCTAATTTATCAACTAAATAGCCAAGGCAACATTTTAAATAACTTTACTGTTAAATAGTTAACTAAATACAGAAAAAAACAAAAGTAAAGCTTATTATAAACCGGGAGAGGGGGATAGGGTAATTTAACCCCTTAGGGTAATTTAACCCCTTCTTGTAATGTTGATTTAAATGAGTCAAAGAGACATTTAAATTAACATCTTTCTTGTCATTACTTTCATAAACGAAACAAAACAGACAATTATCAAAACAGAAAAAGTCTAAAAACCAACAAATTAAAGGCAAAAAATCAAAAATAGCTTTAAATGATGTTGAATTTTTGTCTGAATTAGAAGACATTGAAGTCGGCAGTAGTTGTTATCCCAAATGGATTACGGAGATTCAACATCCTTTAAAGTTATTTTTGATTTTTTGCCTTTAATTTGTTGGTTTATAGATTTTTTTCTGTTTTGATGTTTGTTTATAATCAATGTCATCTATTGTGATCATTTTTCCTGGTGCAATTTTTTTACCTCTTTTTCTGTTGGTTTTCCCTGCTGCATCATTACCACAGTACTTTGTGAAAATATCTATTACACCTATATTTAATATTTCTTTTAAGGACTCACCGCCATTGTCTTTGTTAACATCTGGAAGTCATTTTAATACTTTTTCTTGATACAATAGATTTATGCCTAAAGCTTTGAATCCCGCTTTTAAGTTTTCTGATTTCAGAGTATATTGCAACTTTGTCATAAGCCCTGGGAGATGGTTTTTTGGAATTGAGCCCTTGATTCGTAATTCTTTTCTCCATGTTTGTAAAATATTCTTCCACTTATCTTTCAAGGATCTGAAAATAGCAAGATCAAGCGATTGTAGCAGATGTGTGGCATTTGGGATAAAACTCGTAAACCAGATATTATTTTCAGAGCATGCTTTGATGATATCATATGAAAAATGTAAATTATCCCCAATAATAACTTTAATTCCTGTAAGTGACGCTGTTTCAGGAATAAAAATTTCCCTGAACCAACGTTTAAATGTTCTAGAGTCGAACCAACCATGTTGGTTCGACTCTAGAACATTTAAACGTTGCATTTTCTTTTATTTCAGCTGCCGCATCTGACATTGTTTCGTTTGCAACACTTTTCACGATGTTTTTTATTTTTGTTCTAATTTTTGTATAGTTTTTGGGTGTTTTGGCATATTCATGAGCTGAACCAATTTTTTAAATACCAGTATGACCATGGCCTAAGACTATCATTGCATATATTGTCCTTTTTTTAATATCAAACCTTTTATCACAAGCAACTGATGTATAAAATTCATGTTTATAGTCACAAGATAGTGTAGTAGGGGAGAGTGGTACTGAATGGACCACAAAATTCAACTTTTTTGTAAAAATAATTTTTTCCCATATTGTCAACAACTATGGCGGATATATTAATTCAGAAGTCAAAATTAATACCTTCACTAACAATCCTTAAAAGTTGTAAACCATTGCGCAAACAGAACATAGGCAAAATGTGCGATAAATGTGACCCGTACCAAATTATTTAGTGGTCCATTCAGTACTGTTCATTGTACTGAATGGACCAACCCTTGTACTGAATGGACCACAAAAAAAGTTTTTTTTTTTATAAAAAAGATCAATACCTCTATCGCTAATAACTATAGCCGATATATTAATTCGGGAGACAAGATTAATATTTTAACTAACTATCCTTGTATATTGTATATTATAATAAAAGTTGTAAACAATTGCGCATAACAAGTTACATTATGCAAAGCAATTAGGGTGATAAATGGAGTTTAAAAACAAGAAAGAAGTATGTTGAGACATTGATATTTCTGAATTAATTAATACAACTTTAGACCGAAGTCTCAATCAGATAATCAAATTACAATAATCACAAACATATTGGCTGGCATTATCTGCACTTGTGCAAGCTTTATGTGCCCAGCTCGCACACTGTCTGCAACGGTACCACACTTCGTTGTCACGACCCATTTCTTCACATATAGCACACAAATCGTAATTTGATGTAATACCTCCACAAAAATTTAAACTATCTTTGACACCATTATCATTTCTTTCAACAAGAATATCATCAGCCTCATCATTATTATATGTCATTAATGGAAACTTTAGAGTTTTTGAGTTGCTTGATTTCTTTCTTGATTTCCTTTGACGTTTATTTTTAGCATCTTTTTGTTTTTCAGAAAAGTTTTGTTTTTTTAAATTTTGCTGAAGTTGTTGATTTCGAAGAGCCTCTTTAATTGGAGTATCAGTTAAAATCGAAGAGGAGAGCTTTTTGCGAGCACCTTTGGTTTTTTTTAAACGAGCTTTTGCAGAAGGATAAGGGCGTATACTTTCCACATTCAGGGTATTGCTAACATTTTTGTTGACTTTAACATTTCTATTTATTTCTACTGAAACTGGATAGATGTTGAGTGCTTCAGGATTAGGTCTAATAACTTCTACTGAAACTGGATTGATATTGAGTGCTTCAGGATAAGGTCTATTAATTTCAACTGAAACTGGGTTGATGTTAAGTGCTTCAGGATTAGGTCTAATAATTTCTAATGACACTGGATTGATGTTGAGTGTTTCAGGATTGGGTCTATTTGTAACCTGAGATAAAAAAAAATCCTCATCCTTCCACCGATCAGGTTGAAAAGGACTTATTCCAGATACTGAAAAACCACTAATGATGTTAACTGGCATTGATACTTTTGCCCAAGCCTTTCCAGAAATTTCTGCAATGTCATAGATTGAAACAGTTTTTCCTGGATGTGATACCAACCAGCTATCAATTTCACGATTATAATGACGTTTGAAAGGTCCATACACTGTTATATCTAACGGTTGCAGTTTATGTGATGTATGGGGTGGGATTGTTAAAACAATTACACCATTATCTGATGCTAAGTCAATGAAGTTAATTGACAAATGAGATTCATGATTATCTAGTATCAACAGCACAGGGTTTGTCTTAGATGGTCGAACACTTTTTATAAAATGATTAAACCACTCCATAAAGGTTGATTCCATTTAAAATGAACACGTGGAAATATGTAGAATGGTGTTATTGAGGATCCACTTGCATTTACTGCATTGCACATTGTTACCAAGATACCTCGTTCTGCACTTGTGACAGAAGCAACTTGCCTCTCTCCTCTCTTGGCTAAAACATGCTCTGGCACTTGTACAGTAGTAACACCAGTCTCATCAACGTTCCATATATCATTTGGTGAAAACTTGTATTTAATCAAAAGACTTTGCAGATTATTATAAAATAGATTTACATTATACTTGTTGAATGCTGACATTCGACCAATTGATGTTGCCTCTGGTTTTCTTATAACAAGTTTTGGATGACGACTAAAAAAAGGTCTAAACAAATCTACACCTGCATGTTTATTTGTTTCCCAAGGTTTAGCAGAACCTCGACGAGAATGTGGACACTTCTTCTCAAGTTTGAGAGCATATTCAAATGTTAGTGCTCTTAGCTTGATAGGACTTAACCCATATCCCATTTTTGCAGAAACTAAACAATATTGAACCAGCTCTTGTTCTTCTGTTACTGAAAAAATTTTCATAGAACTGTTACTATATGGAACACATTGCAATTTATTCAATCCATTTTGAGATAGTCGAGCTTCTTTTATTCGCCTCTTAAGAGTTGAACGTTTGACTCCAAATATCTCAACAGCTTTTCTTTCAGATAGAGTTTTATTTAAAACATTTTCAACTGCTTGGATCATATTATTGGGATCCCAATCACCTTTTAGTGCTGTTGCTTTTCGATGTCTCATAATACTTCTGAAATAAATAAAACTTGTTTATAACCATATTATAAAAAAAAATTATCGATGCTATTTTATATATATATATATATATATATATATATATATATATATATATATATATATATATATATATATATATATATATATATATATTTAATTATCTAAACACACACACACACGCACATATAACATGTATAAAAAACTAAATTATATAAAAGCTTGAATGTAGAATAATTTTTTTATTATGATCAACAAGCTTTAGTAATTTAAATATAACAATTAATTTACGAAATTTTATTCTTGGTTTTATTAGATATTACTTGATTTTTTGTATTGTAAAAATTACTGACCATGGTAATTGTCATTGTTTTTAAAAACGTATAAATAACATTTCAGATATATTATATAATATCTAGCATATAGCTTATCTAGCATATTATATGCCATATAACATATCTAGCATATAACTTTTATTATATATAGTATATATAACAAATGTTATATGCTAGATGTTATTAAAAGTAATACCACCTTATTTATATATCGTAATAATATTATGACATTCAGTTATTGAAATAATGAAACAAAATACAAATTAATAATTATTAACCTAATATGTAAGCTATTAGTCTGCTTAACTTAATATTATATTATCTGCTTACCTTAATATTATATTGAATAATGAATAATTGAACTTGCGCCCTTAAGTCTTCGTTAACTAGATATTTTGGTTTATTTCCTAACTCACATCTCCTTAGTTCATTTAGATGAAAAAACTTGTGTATTTTGTTTTAGTAAGTAAAATACTGAAGCGCGATAAATAACTTCGCAGAAAAATGAACCGGTCCATTCAGTACAATCAATGGTGGTTCATCCAGTACACTAATCAAAATGTACATGTTACCCATATAATCACAGCAATTAGTAAATCATATAACATTCATTCTAATGTTATACAAAGTAAAAAATATGTATCTATAATATTATTATTAACCATAGTTAACTTTACCTTAAAAATCTAGTGTAAATTGAAACAAATTGAAAAGATAAAAATTTACTTTTTGCTCGAAAAAAACAAAAAATGCAAATATTAATGCATTATTACGAATAACGTTAAACCAAAAATATCAAAGAAACTTTGAGTATACAAAAATTATATGCAATTAAAAAAAATCAATTAACAGCTTGTTAAGTTTTTATTTTTCTAATGGTCCATTCAGTACAAGGTCCATTCAGTACCACTCTCCCCTATACTTTACATATAGCAACGTTGCTAGACCTTTCTTTCTGTGCACACTTTTCACATTGAGGACACATTACCAATGAAAAAACTTTAGATAAAATTTCAGTTTCTATAATTCTGTGATCAGTAATATTTTTAATGTTTTTACTTGGTACATTTGTAATAACTTTTACTTTTTTAGCTGATGCGCCTAAAATATTTCTGTATTTAGAGTCACATTCACTTACATTACATGCATTTTTATTTTTTTTTTATTTTAAATCCTCTTTTTTTTTTGTGGTAATATGTTCACCCAAATCAGTAAGTTTTGTCATATTTTTTAGTTTCTGCTGTTGTATAAATTAGCTTTGATGACTTGGTAAAATCGTATTTAAATAGCCTTTGTAAATGGCTTATGTATGAATCAGCGGCGGATCCAGGATTCAGTGGTGGGGGGTAATGCTTGGAGGTTTATTGAGGGGATAGTTTAGGATGGGGTATCCCCCTCCCAAAAATTTATGTGACACAGGTATATAAATTATTATAAAATAGGTTTATTAACATCAATTGATTACAAATTAATAAACACCAGTTTACAAGTTCATTAACACCAGTTGAAAGTTAATTAACACCAGTTGACTACAGTCTACAAGTTCATAAACACAGTAGACTTCATTTAGTTCATAAACAAGCTTAGAAACACCAGTTTACTGCAGGTTAATAAACACAGGGCATTTTATTTTAATACAAAATCCAATTTGCATGTGGTCAAGACAAAATCATTGATAACCATGTCTGGGTCAATATTAATTTCTGGGTGAATGTACATAAGGGCAAGACCATTTAAGCAATCATCAACTATAGAAGATTGTATTCTTGATTATAAAAGCTTTGGAGCAGTGAAGCAACATTCTGGTTCTCAAGATGTTACAGGAAGAGTGATTGCAATTTGTAAAATAATATATATATATATATATATATATATATATATATATATATATATATATATATATATATATATAATAGGGAATCTTTCTTTTAGTATTTCACCAAACAACTCTTGTAGACTATTGTGTTTGTTACATGAACATGAGAGAAAGGTTTTAAATATGTGAAACTGGTTCACTAGTTCTTCTACTGTGCATTTCAGAAACCTGCTATAAAACAAATGAATAGCTTTTAAATCTTGGGACGATGCAGATCCTTTAGCGACTTTAGATAACAGAAGTGCAGTAACAGAATGGTTACAAAATTTCTCCCTGAACTGCAACAAGACACCATCCAAGTAAGGGAACCATAAAACTCCTTTAAAGTAGTCTGTACCATTAAGTTCTTGCACATCTGTAATTGTTGTTTGCCCTACACTTCTGGAACTTAAATTGGGTTTTGTGATGTCACATTCGGCCATTTCAGCAAGATTCATGGTCTTGCCACTCTGTTCTCCATCAGCCAATTTCAGTAGTAATGTCATCCATCTTCAGTAGTAATGTCATCCAGAGCTACAGCATCACGCAATGACAAAGACGCTGCTTGTAGTTTCTTGGATAGCCAGTTAGACTCATCAACTTCTTCGCACAGGCTAGAGTGACTAAGAAAGAAGAGTTACGCAATGCAACAAGTAATGAATAAACATGTTGTTATGTCTTTGCATCAAACTTTTGCTCCTTGTTTTCATGGATTTCTTTTAAACCAGCAATAATGTCACTGAAATGGTCAACAAATCTCGAAAAAGCATCGGGACGTTGAATAAATCTAGTTTCAAAATACCCTATTAATGCACATGAAAATATTGCTTGTTGCTTGTGAAACTCTTTAATGAAATTGATTACTTCTGAGACAACGTCAAACATATTCCTTATACAAACAACAGCAGAATAATGATTCAGCACGAGATTTAGACAATGACTAGAATAGTGAACGTAAACGGCTGTTGGGCAGATATTTTTGAATAATGCTTGAACACCGCTAACATGACCAGACATTGTAGATGCTCCATTATAACCCTGACCAACACAACAGCTAATGTCTAGTCCTAAAGTTGTGAGTTTCCTCAAAAATGCCTTTGGCTGTAAAATCTTCAACTTTTCCCAAATCCAACAAATTCCTCTATAACGATGCCATCTTGGCCAAGATATCGAATGCAAATATCTCAATTGCTCATGGTGGCCACTATCAATGGTCTCATCAACCAATACAGATAAAAACTGAGGTAGTTTAACTTCACTCACAATCTGCTTTAAGTTTAGTTCTCCAAAAATGTTAATAAGTACATTTTGGGTAGTTTTAGATATGTACGATGCATTTTTCTTGGTATTTTTTAAATGTTCAGCTAATAAAGTGTCCCTACTGCCTATTCTAAATGCCAAAAGCGCTCTAAACTTACCTTGTTGGCCAGTTAGTGCTTCATCTGTTTAAGTTAGATCAAGATAATCATCATCCCTGTATCCTCGCAAAGGTAAACCTAAGCGTCCACACAATTAAATAGTTTTAATAATTGGTTTGAGGCGCTCTCTGTTTTCATAGGACTGAACATTTACATTGGAGTCAATTAATTTGATGATGTTTTTGGAAGATTTTGAAATGCATAGGAATTGTTTTGTGATAATCGCAGGTGACATGGTCGTGTAACTTTAAATGAATTTTGTTATATTTAGTAAATGCTTCGTTCACTAGATTGCCAATTTTTTTTTGTTTTTTCACGATCATTTGAAATAGTATCCCCTGCAAAGAGGCAGCAGGGTAAACAACACACACCTTACAGCTTGAACGAGTACTTGAAGCAACCATTTCCACCAGAAATATGATCCATTGATAAAAATACTTTTTGCTTACTTCTTTGGTGAAAGAGCTATTCAAATAAGCTGCTTGGCATTGCATCAGATGTCAGTAGTGAAATCCTCTCTGAGTCGGTCAATCTGTGTAGTTTGCTCATTGACCGAGTCCAGCATCCATTTTCACTGCCCTCAAAAATCATCTCAATGTCTCATTCTGTCTGTTTGGCTTTAGGGACTTGAGTGAACATAGCAATAGGTCTGCATACGACTGCAGAGTTAATAGGTAGTGCACCACTGGACAAATTCACTTGGTGTGGAGTGACAACTTCAGAATTAGTAGTATTGAACCACTGGTTAAACTCACATGGTCTTGAGTGACGACTCCAGAATTAGTAGAAAGTGAACCACTGGGCCAACTCCCTTGGCTGACGTCGTCAACTGTTGTAGTTGTAGGACAGGAAAATAAACAAAAAAGAACACGGTGAATACCCTTCTAACATTTTGTAGCATCACCGCTACTGTAAGTCATGATTAGACGAAACCGTGAATTAGTCAATTTTATTTTTAGTTCACTTTTTATTTTTGAATTATTCACTTTTTATCCAATAATTATTAGTGTAATTGAGTACACGAGTTGCGCGAAGTGTAAAGTTAGTTGTGTCCACACAAAACTCATTTTGTGTGGACAACACTAGCTTTAGTTACTTTACATAAACAAATAAAATACAATTGAAAAAAAAACTTTTACATTTTATAAAAAAACCATTACCTTTTTTGTTGAAAATAGTCTGTCATCTTACGCCTTTTTGTGTTTTAGTATATTAAGATACTAAATACAGGCGAGCGTTAATAAAATATCGGGTAAATATAAAATTAATAAGCGAATAATTAATGGTTCATCCTTTATAACTTTTATCAATCTGTTATCCACAAAATATTGGAAATTTAAAAAATACACAGATGAAATTTATTATATATTATTTATTATTATACATTATATATTTATTGTATATTATATATTATTATTATATAATTTTTATTGGCTTAAGTTAAGTTTTTATAACATATTTCGTAGCCACTATAATGAAACTTTGCCAATTATTAGTAAGTTTATAGTACAATATGGTACAAGTTACAACAAATAACCAAATCCCAGCAAAATCCGTGGATAACAACGGCAATAATAAAGTCATCAAAAAAACAACGCTTATACGAAAAGTTTATATAAAAAAGAACTTATGAAAACGAAAAATATATAAATTTAACTTTGGCTTTTTAGTAGTAGAATCCACAATAAAAAAACTTTTGGATACTTTTTGTCTATTTTATAATTACGATTATTCTTGTAGATTTTTGGTCCTCATAAACAAATACTACATTTATTTGACTCTTTAAATTTAGCTCTAGCTTTTTTATTTGTTTCATAAAGCTTTTGATTAACAGTTCCTTTTCTAACGCCAAAATTTACTTGTAACTTGTGTAAAAAATTAACTTAAAATATTAACTTAAAAATTACAGTTTTTTAATTCCAAAACCAGTGTACCTTAAAAACGATTTTGTCTTAGCTACAGATATTAAAAAAAACTCTACAACCACCATTCTTCCACCAAAGTGCAATAAACATGTCTGTGAAAAACCTGAGTGAATTTATCACCGCTCTAACTATTTATTGAAAAAAAAATAAGTTTTACAAAAAGCGCAATTATATGATTTTAATAAAGCTTTTTTTTTAATCGCTTAGCAAAAGTATGAAGCGGCATCGTTGACAAAAATAGAAATTTTTCGTGCAATGTTATCACTATTCGTTCAAAGTAATTACCTTTCTTTGGATCGAATTGGGTTTTTGGTTTTTGTAACTTAATCCAACCCGACCCAACGAAAGTTAATAACATGGAACGAATATTAATTTTAATAAAGTTTTGTAATGACGTATTAGAAGATGGGGGTGATACCTTAAGGTGGTACACACCCATTCTAAAAAACTTCTTTAAAATAATTAATTCAAAATTAAAACTACAATACACAAGTTTAAAAAAGTATGCTGATTATTTTTTTTTAATGAAATCTTGATTGCCCAACTTTTGCCTCGCTTATTCCATAAGAATTCCCAAAATGTGGGTGTAATTTAAAACAAGATATCTCCAGTTCTATATATCCTTTCACTCTAAAATTTTCACATTATGTTCCTAAAAGGTACAAAGAGGTTATGAACCAAAATCAGGCATTAAAGATGCATAGAACATTTTAAAAGTAATTTTCTATAAATTTAAGAAAATTTTTAACAAAAAAAAAAAAGAAAAAAAGATTTTAAACAAACTTATACATAATATATATTTATTTGTAATTTTGGTTCATTACCTAAGTCAATTTATAACAAAAGCACCCTGAAAATTTCAAGTCAGCATATGGTCCCAAACTGAAAATATTGCGTTTTAAAATTTAGGTATTTGGTAAAAATGACATTTTGAGAAAAACACAAAAAACAAAATAAAAGTTCGTTATATTAGGAAAAGAAGCACAAGCTCAATTAAAAACATCCACTATTATATTGTGGGTCCTTTTCCAGTTCTTTTTCAATATCTATGTAACCTTTTTTGATGGCTCTAAGTTGTTTTCTCCTTAATTTACCTTTAACACTTGATTTGACATTTTTTTAATTCGGATGAGGTCCAATTTACGAAGTCCTTCTTGCATAAACATACTTGGTTCAATACCTCCAGCACTAATTACTTTTTCAACTGCTGTGCTTCCATCATTAAATGCTATAATAGCTGAGTTCATACTTATCTCAAGACCTTTTTTTCAATAAAAAAATCTTTAGGACATCTTTTCCATATTAAGGCATTCAGACTTTCATTGTTATTTTGAGTTTGTCCGTGCAAACATTTTGATAACAATGTTTCATTTGTCAAATCTGTAAATATAGGCATAAGTACTGCTTTAATTGCTAATGGTAAGCTTAATTTAGTTTTGTATGTTGTTTCACCAGTTACTTTATTACTCTGCCACAAACACCAACTAGTTCTAGTTCGTGGGAAAAATTTGTTGTTCTCTGACTCTTCACTTATGCCACTGTTGTGAAATAAAACAGCCCAAGCAGCTTTTTTCATTGCATAAAGGTTATTCACATTTTGACGGATAGCAATACCAAAATAATTTTGAAGCGTATTTATGGCTTTATCTGTCAGACAACCTTTTCCATCTATTCTTTTTTCATCTGAAAGAAACTGACCTTTAAGTGTAACTCTAAGGTTACGCACACGATTTCCAAGTCTCTTTTGGTAATGTCCAACACAATAAAGTCTGTTTATTTCAAAACCTGTATATGGATTACTTGCAACAACATCATTATATGCTGAGCTTTCACTGTCTCCAATATATCCTTCATATCTCAAACCATGCTTTTCAATTGACCGTTGAAAAATTGAAACAGCACCAGAAGCTTCCATGGATCCTGATGATTTATTGTGGTTAGCTTCACAAACATGATTTATTTTCCAGTTTTAATATCCTGGTGTTGACTTTTTTTTGTTCCAGTAACTACAAGCTTTGCAGAACTTAGTTAACAAAGTTGAATCAAGACATTTTCCATTTTCTCTTGATATTGCAGTGACAATACCATTTAAAGATTGATGGCCTCTCCCGCCGGGAAATCGGCTAGCGATTAGCTAGCGATATTCGTTACGATTAAGACAGCGATTTGGCCACGAGGATCGTTAGCTTTATAAGCTAGCGATCCGCTAGCTAAACAAATTAGCGAATAGCTAGCGATATTCGTTACGATTAAGACAGCGATTTGGCCACGAGGATCGCTAGCTTTATAAGCTAGCAATCCGTTAGCTAAACAAGTTAGCGACAAGTCGTTACGATAAAGACAGCGGTATGGCCACGAGGATTGCTAGCTAAATAAGCTAGCGAATAGCTAGCATTAAGTCGTTACGACAATGACATCGATTTGGCTAGAAAATCTTGGCTAGGTTAGAAGATATGCTCAAAGAATCGCGTGCTATTTTTTTTAGGGGAGTGAATTATAACCATTAAAATAAGATTGCATTTATAACAAATTAAATACAAAATGTTAATACTTGTTTCCATAAAAAGTTATAAATGTTAAAGCCATTATAAAATGTTAAAAGAAAAGTTATAGATTACTTTTGAAAAATAAAAAGTCATTAACAACTAAATGATTTTGCCTAATTTAAATTAATAATTTCAAAAGATATTTAAAAAGATAATAGAATAAAATTTCTGTCAAATTTTAGTTTTTTTTAAAATCTTTATCAATTTTCGAAAATAATTGCTAAAAAAGTTGTAACAAATAAAATATCTAAAAAAAAAAAAGTCAATAAAAAATAATAGAACAAATAAACAAAAAAAATAAGTTAACTGGAATCACTACATGAGTCAGTGTTTAAATTTCTTTTTTTTCTAACAGGACTGTGTATTTGTATATCACTTGTTAAAGAAGAACTTCTCTTTCTTGCAGCAAAATAACGATCTTTAGACTTTTTCAAGTGTTTCGCAATTATTGTAGTCATACTGGATTCAGTGGCAGTTGGAAATAAACATTAAGCTGCATCAAAAATCAAACTTTCGACTGGTCCTATAAGCCTACGCTTCTTATCTGCACCAGTTCGATTAATGCTGCAGCACAGCTTGTCACAGCTTGTCACTGCATAAAAATTGAACAAAAAAAAATATTATTTTTACGAATGGGATAAAATTTTAAAATGTATACTGAATCGGAATCAGGAAGCTTTGGTGGCTCCCATAATGGTAATGATGGTAAAGGAGGTTCTTCAAAAAAACTTTTTTTTTTCTCTTTCTGTTTTATTGACTTAAAGGAGTTTTCTTGTGTTTTTTTTTTGATGTATTAAAATCAATTTCTACTTCTGATTCTGCAGTAAGAATATGCTAAAAAAAATAACTTTTTTAATATACATACAATCATAGCTTTATACAATATACATATCATAGATCGTCCATGCAATATTTTAAAAATCCGGAAATTTGTTTGGGTAAAATATCCGGAAAATATTTTCTCTTATTTTCCTCTTATTTTTGCTTATAGCTGAGTTTTTTCTTTTTTTTTTTTCAAACTTTTCTTTATTTTTTTATGAGTGATGAGTGAAAAAGCTTATAAAACAAATAGATGTATTTAAACTTTTAAGTATAGAAAATGTTTTAGATATCCAGCAAAAAAAAAGTTACAAAAATTTCCAGAATTCTGGAAATACCCAAAAAAGGTTAATCCTTGACATATACAAAAATCTGTTACTAAAAAAGAACAAAAGAAATCATAATAAATACAGCTCATAATCAACTCAACTTTACCTAAGTTAAATACTCAACACATTTTATGCAATGCTTTGTGCATTGATTACAATAAAAATAATTTATTGAGTTAGTTTAAAAATGCTCACATTCAAAGGTGGGCCGAAACTACAACTGTATAAAAAACTATCAACTTTCCGTGCTAAAATATAGATAGCTAAAAATAAGCTGCGATATGTAGCAAGCAAATAGCTATAGACTTTTTGTAATCTTCTAGCTAGCTTAAACGTGTTAGGCACTTCAACATTTTTAGAAAAAATGTAAAATGAAAACAAAACAAACTTCATTAGTTTGAACTAAAAATCAACAGTTAAAAAATAACAAACTTATCGTTTTATTATTATTAGTTGAAAATTTGTTTAACTTTTAAACTACAAAATTAAAGCTTTTTATTGTATGATTTTTGAGGTTTTCAGCAATTTAACGTTTTTAAGAATCGCATCCCTAACGGCACATCTAGTTTCTTTTTCGGAAATAAAACCTATACAGGCACGTGTTTTTCACGATCAAGGCGTAAACTAAAAGCACGTGTTTATTACGGGCAGTTTTAACACGTGTTTTTTGAGGTTTTAAAGTCAAATTTAAATGTTGTATGTTTTTATCAGTGGTTTCACATTCCTTACGGAAAGTTATTAAAATATAATACTACGTTTCCATAACGGTGAAACCATTAATACTTTAACTGGTATTTATGGTAAATAGTAATAGTTAATTTCACGGAATAAAAACCATTTAGGATACGTGTTATTCTTTTTGTTTTAGAAGGTTTTAAAAACGCAACAGAAACCAAGCGTAACTATTTTCTGAGTTGTGCCGGCTGGGATCAACGTTTTTGGTTTTATACAAAAGCAAAAACGTTGATGCGTTTAAACAAGACCGTTATTATTTAAAACTAAATATGTAATACCAAAAATTTTATAGTAAATGGAATTTCAATAATTAGGAAACAACCAACATTTGACATAATAAGTCTGTGACAACTTTTTTAAAACATTTTATTTAATGGTAACGCAAAAAAGGGTTTTTAAAAATAATAAAATGATTTTAAAAACTTATTTTATAAAACATAAATATCGTATAACAAGAAAATGATTTTAAAAGAACTTTAAATAACTGTTTAAATTAATATTAAACTGTTTAAATTAATATTAAACTGTTTAAATTAATATTATTTAAATAATATTTTGAATTTGAATTATGTATGAGTCAACCTTAGCCCCTATATTCATTTTGTTAAATTTTAAATATTGCCTATAGTGAGGAAAAAGCAAGTAAAAATATCTCAAAAACGCTCAAAGTAACCCTCGTAACGCTCAACAACAAAGTAACGCTCGAAGTAACCCTCAAAAACGCTCAAAGTAACGGTTTACGGTAACATAATAAAAACTAAAATAAAAGAGGAAAATGCGAGTTAAATTATTAGAGTCCTACATATAGATCAAATAAATGAAATGTATTTACCGTTGCAACTTGGCCCATCCGTTTAGAGCTTTGAAGAAAGCTGTTGCATTCCGAAGGTTCATCTTTAGATCTTTTATATGCCATTTTTGATATCGATATTGATATTTTTAAAACAATATGAATAGTAGAGTGATAGTGCGAAAAAAGCAATATCGATAAAATTGTTGGTTATGTATAGTAAATTTCAATATGACAAATTAAGTCGTTAGTAAAATACTGCCAAAAATCATTAGTTGCATAACTGGTATTGCGTAATGCGGTATACTTAAGTATGTTAATTAAAACTTCTAGACAGCAATTTCATGACACGCGTTAATGCGTTTTTAATTGAGAAAACAAAAGTATTTAGATTTTTTAAATGAAAAATAAACTTTATTATAACATAGAAATAACCCAACTGTATTATAAAAATTAAAGTTTATACAGTTTTTTAATTTTATTATACAGATATAGCTATATATATATATATATATATATATATATATATATATATATATATATATATATATATATATATATATATATATATATATATATATATATATATATATATATATATATATATATATATATATATATATATATATATATATATATATATATATTGTTGGCTTTGAGAGTACGGAAGGTTAAAAATGATTCTTTTGACAACAAGTTACGTCACTTTTAATTACTTTTGACATTCATCTAACATTTTCGTCTTGTCATAAAGTTAAAACCATTAACTTAATTATTTTTTAAAAAAACCGCAAAAACGCAAATATAATTGACCAGAATGTTTTTAAAAACATTAAGAATGTTTTTAAAAATATAAACAATGTTTTTATTTTATTTTTTAAATAAAATGTTTTTGTTTTTATTTTTTTTAGTGTAAATCATGTGCGAGTGTTGCTATATCGACTACCTTATAGCCTGACTGACAAATAGCCTGACTCGCAAAGGAGTGCTGCTACATCGACTGAAGGTTTGGTTTGGGCAGTCAGTCTATCAAATAATAAAATAAAAATAAATAAAAAAATTCCGGTCTTGCATTAAAATTATATATATATATATATATATATATATATATATATATATATATATATATATATATATATATATATATATATATATATATACATATATATATATATATATATATATATATATATATATATATATATATATATATATATATATATATATAAATTCCGGTCTTGCATTAAAATTATATATATATATATATATATATATATATATATATATATATATATATATATATATATATATATATATATATATATATATATATATATATATATATATATATATATATATATATGTATATATATATATGTATATATATATACACATATATATATATATATATATATATATATATATATATATATATATATATATATATATATATATATATATATATATATATATATATATATATATATATATATATATATATATATATATATATATATATATAGGGGAAAACGGGTCAACATGGCGAATGGGGCAAGATGGGTTTTCATATAACAACTCAACAAAAAAACTTAAAATTGGGTGAAAACGAAACTGTATTTGCATCTTGCATTTTAAAACACTAATTGGCTTTTTGAAATATTATTAACGCAATTTTATACACATAAGTTTACTTTAAGCGCCTAAAAAAAAATTCCTCACTTTCGGTTTCTCATAATGGATGGTGCTCTTCAAGTTTAACTTCTTTAGAAGTAATTTTTTGCAATTTGTGTTTATTTTTTTTTACTTTAGTTAGAGTTTTTGGTAGTTTTAAAAATTTTATAAAATTGGAAGTAAAAATTGCATAATAAGTCATCTTGCCCCGGTCACGTGACCAGATGACAAATTTATGAACATTTTATTTTAATATTTATTTCAAATTACTATATTTGCAAACTGAAAATTCTTGCAGGCAATGTAAGAATTTAATAACATAAACATACTGAGAAAGTATTATGGCTTCACGACTTGTAGTTTTGCAACAACTCAGGGCTTTCAAAACGTTCGCCATGTTGCCCCACTTTCCCCTATATATATATATATATATATATATATATATATATATATATATATATATATATATATATATATATATATATATATATATATATATATATATATATATATATATATATATATATATATATATATATATATATATATATATATATATATATATATATATATATATATATATATATATATATATATATATATATATATATATATATATATATATATATATGACGGGATTGTATTTAGTAAATTAAAAACACCATCGGTGTTTTTAATTTACTAAATACAATATTATTATTCATAGTTAAACTTTACTAAATAAAATATTATTATTTATAGTTAAAACTTACTACGCTCATCTACCATCTGACCAAAATTTTATTTCCATACGTCTGGAACAGTGCGCATAAACTACAACTGTTTAAAAAACTATCGACATTTCGTGCTAAAATATAGATAGCTTAAAAGCCCTAATATGTCGCTAAAGACTTTTCGTTATCTTCTAGCTAGCTAAATCACAACTATATGCAGCTATCGACATTTTGCATTCAAATCGATTGCTAAAAAGCTGCGATATGTAGCTGTCAACATATCGTAATAAAATCTTTACTTTTAAAGTTTAATTATTATTAGCATTATTTATGGCGACCTTGTAGTTAGCTAAAAAGGCTTACAAATATTAAACTAGCGATAAATCGTAACAAAATCGTTGTCATTAAAACTGCATTATATAGCTAGCAAGTAGCTATCGATTTGTGGCTACCTTGTAGCTAGCTACAAAGTTACAATAGGTAACTAGCGATAAATCGTAATAAAATCATTGTCAATAAAACTGCATTATATAGCTAGCAAGTAGCTATCGATTTGTGGCTAACTTGTAGCTAGCTACAAAGCTACAATATGTAACTAGTGATAAATCGTAATAAAATCGCTATCTAAAAACTGCGATATGTAGCTATCAACTAGCTATCAATTTGTGGCTATCTTGTAACTAGCTACAAAGCTACGATACGTAACTAGCGATTAATCGTAATTAAATCGATAGCTAAGAAGCTGTGATATGTAGCTATCGAATAGCTATAGATACATCGCTATCTAGTTGCCAGCTAAATAAATGCGATATGTAGCTAGCGTCATATCGTAATAAAATCGCTGTCTATAAAACTGCGTTATGTAGCTATCAACTAGCTATCGATTTTTGGCTAACTTGAAGCTAGCTACAAAGCTGCGATATGTAACTAGCGATAAATCGTAATAAAATTGCTGTCTAAAAAAATGCGATATGTAGCTATTAACTAGCTATCGATTTGTGGCTATCTTGTAACTAGCTACAAAGCTACGATACGTAACTAGCGATTAATCGTAATTAAATTGATAGCTAAGAAGCTGCGATATGTAGTTATCGAATAGCTATAGATATATCGCTATCTAGTTGCCAGCTAAACAAATGCGATATGTAGCTAGTGTCATATCGTATTAAAATCGCTGACTAAAAAACTGCGATATATAGCTAGCGATGTATCGTTACAATATCGCAATGTTTAAAATTCAATTATTTTCATAACTATAATAGATCCAACACTAAAAATCGAATTTTTAATGATGTTAAAGACTTAAGGAAAGAATTAAATAAGAAAAAAAAAATCGCTCGAAAATCGCTATAAAGCTAGCTAGTCGCTAGCTAATCGCTAGCTCGCTTCCCACCGGGCTCTTTTGCCAGCAGAAACTTGGCAAGCAGAAACATCATTAACTTTGCTTGAATTAGAAATAATATCGTTGGTTTCATTGGCAGCACTTGACATACTTGCAGAAGCAACTTCATTATAAATATTTAACAAGTTGTTATTAATTGCACTATAATTTTTAAAATTCATAGGAGATGGCATGTTTATTACTGCAGCAAATTTGCATATAGATTGATAACCTTTACCAATTTCACGAAAAGCAGTAATAACTTGAAAATTAACTGATGTAGTAGGAACACCTGGAGTACTTTTAGATTTTTTAGTTGAAAACTGAGACGTGTGCCATCCTGTGCTAAATGGGCAACAAAAGCACTGTAAAGTTAAGTAAAAATAAAAACCTTTTTTGCTTTTTAAGTCATTTTCCAAATAAACTTCATTTCCACATTTAGGGCATTTAAACTCACTAACCATTAGTTTTAAAATATTAAAGTTTATAATGATATTGTAATTTTCTTGATTTCCAGATATTTCAGTGTTTACTAGTTTTCTGGAGCTTGCTTATAAACTTGGATCAGAAATTGATGAATCAAGCTGAATAAACTTTGAAGATTTTAAGTGTTGATTACAAGAAAACTTTCTTTTTTTAGTTCGAGCAATAGAACGTCCCTTATCTTATTTAGCTATTTATCTATAAGAACATTAACTAACTAAAACAGCATGCAAGCGCAATATTTTGATACATGTTCGCATCATTGATCTCTATAATAACTGGATAGCGCATCTCTATTATCAAAAGTGAAGCCAATTTTTTATAAGGCCGCCATATTGGAAAGCCCCAGAATACCAAAAATACAGTGATTGCGCTTGAAGATGTACCTTTTTACTTCGTTTATATCTACTCGACCAAGTCACATATTTCAATGATATTATTATATTTAAAATGTTTGAAGGTGTAAAAATTATAAAAGGGAATCAAAAACACGCAAAACATTAACAACGAAGAGAAATATCGCTATAAAGAAATAATAAAATTTGTATTGCTTTCTATGAACTTGTTAAATTTATTGAATTTATGATATTCTAAATAAAACGTTTCTGAAAGACAAACTGATATTAAATCTGGTTAATTTTGGGTAACTTGATGCGACCTTACTTAGCAATAGTAGCTGGAAAGTAACTTTACAAATATAAAACATGATAAAAACATTGTATCAAACATTTTTGTAAATGGTTTTCTAATTTTTGAGACTCTGAGGACATGTTTATATTGTTCCACAACTGAAATATCATCAACTATGCAACTATGCAATACTTTATTAAACTGATATCAATTAATAAAAATGTTTTGTTCTGTTGCTTT